CTGAGAATATGGCTAACAAAGCTTTAGACCAGGTCCCCACAACACTACCAATATATGATCTGTAGACAACCCTGTCCACATCCTGTAGTACTGCACATACCAACGTTTTAAGGCCTAGTACCATCTTTACTCAAGGGAGGTAAGAAGATCTCTCATTCCTGCAAGAGACTGGACACCAGAATCATAAATCCAAATGTTACCTTTAAATGTCCCAAGGTGCTTAGGGAAGATTTTCAGAGCAATAGACTTGAGAGATTCTGAAAAAAAGCCCTGGCACTCTTTGGTACTTATACCATGAGACTTCCAGAAGGCCTCATCTGTGTCTCATTCCCACAGAAAGTGGTTAAGAGTGCTGGGCTGGGCGTTGGTGGCACATGCCTTTAATCTCAGCATTTGGGAGGCAGAGGCAGGTGGATCTCTGTGAGTTCGAGGCCAGCCTGGTCTACAGAGCGAGTTCCAGAACAGCCTCCAAAATAATACAGAGAAACCCTGTCTCGAAAAACCAAAAAAGAAAAAAAAAAAAAGGGTGCTATGTGCCCCACTACCTACCTCATCTCACAGCTAAGGAAGGTGCCTTTTGTGTTTCAAAACCTAGGTTTTAGGATTAATGTGTCATACACTGCAGCCTTATCTCACAGGACCCCGTGAAGGTTCCATGGCATCCTGTGACATCAGAACTTTGGCCAATGGTGCCACAAGTTCCATCTATTTCCTGCATTTATCCTGGGTCCCAAAGAAGGTCTTTCTTCACATGACTGTGAAGTGTCAGCTCATGGCGTCACCTGTACTTGTCCTTAGGTGAGGCTCAGGATAGTTTTCAGTGTCCTATAGCACAACTAATGATAGTTGCCACCAAAACATCTATCGTTGTTCCAGCCTTTGATGCCTGAGAATCTGTCGCACCTGCTGTGCAGCCTGCATCCGAGAATGTAGCAAGGTGGTCAGGATAGATGACACAGAGACCGGTCTCTTGCTTTAAGAAAACTTTATGCTTCCCCAGTCAGCTTAGGAGGAGACCCCAAGTCCGCTTAGGAGAACTCCCAAGAAAAAAAAAGCTTCCCTTTTTAAAGACTTCTGCCATCCATCTACATACAATTCTCCAACCGAGCTCTTACACACCTCTCACAGACTTCTCACCCTCCTGGCTGGTGGTTTAATCTCTGGCCCCAGAATCGGGGGAGACACCACAGGGAGCAGGAAGGAACATCTAGCCGTAGGGGGGATCAAAGTCATGGTGTTTCAGTGAGCTATCCCTTATCTGAGCCCTATCAAGCGCTTTATAGCACTGAATTGTTTTCAGTAAACATTATCTCGCAGCTGCCTGCTCCCAGGCCGAAGGGGAAGTGGGTTTCTGCTCAAGGTCTGGTGTCCCCACAAGAATCCACACACCTTTGGATGCTCGTGCTTACTACATAATTATAAAACTTTTTAGGAACTGCTGTGGTCTAGACTATCAGGAGACTCATGGACAACAAGTGCAGATGAAGAAAACACAGGCTGTGATCAATTGCAGGGAATTGTACAGGGACATGGGTAGGATTACAAGCAGAGAAAGTTTAATAAGGAAGAGTATTTCTCAGAAGGGAGGTGGGCCATAGCTGGGGAGAAAGGCTAGAAGCTGAATGTTCCCAATTAGCTAGCATTTTGGGATCTTCATATATTATTTATACAATGTACACTTCTTGTAAGTATGCTTAAGCATCAGTTGGGGGTGGGCTTTCCCTGAATTTTTTCCTGAGTTTTTATCACTGTTTTCTTTTATATAATGTAAATTTTATATGCTCTGTTCTAGTCTTCTGCTACTACTATCACACCTGATAGCTGTGGGGATCATAAACATTTGCATATTTATTTCCCATGTCTCCATGGCCTTTCCTCTTCACCAGCTAAGCAAGAGACCACCCTAAGAATCAGTATAAGCATATAAATCTGTCTGTGACCATGACATAGATTTGCAAACTCAGGCTTATATGACCAGAAATTCTGGCTGTGCTACAGGGAAAAGTACAGGGACTTCTACTTGGGAGCTATGGTTGGACTCTTGGGAGGAAAAGTTGGACAGCCTGTGTATGGATGACTAGGAGGTGGGACAGGGACTATGTGGCAGGGTGTGGAGGATCACTCACGGTCTGCTGCCTCTCAGATTGCTTTGGTTGTTTTTTCCAGTCTTAGTTTCTCAGGCATTTGGTAGAAATACAGCCCCTTCTTGGGAATTTCCCACACATGCACTGGCAGATCATGCTTGGTGGGAAGAAACAGCTAGCTGGGTGTGGTCTACGGGTGAGTCACCATGACTGGAAGGCAGCTCCCATATTCTTCCCCATTACAAGGCCTGCATACAGAGATCACTTATATACTCTCGGCCCCACAGAGGTCATTGTCTAAGCTTGCATGCCCCAGCTGACAAGACAAAACCTGGTACCATACAGCACTGTCCTGTATGGATCTGGGGGAAAATGACTCATCACTGTCCTGCTATGCCTTGTGAACTCCGACATTGAGAAGCAAGAGAAAAAAGTGAAACCTTACCCTGTCTCCTCAGCAAGAAGGAAACAATACCTGATGATTGTCACTTTTTATTACTGTGCTTTTGCATTTGTTGTGATTCTGCCAATTAGGTATGTTTCTTACAGGCAAGAAAGATTTTTGTTTTTCTTTTGGAGACACAGTTTCTCTACATAGTCCTGGCTGTCTTGGAATTCACTCTGTAGACTAGGCTGGCATGGAATTCACAGAGTCTGCTTCCTGAGTGCTGGGATTAAAGGCATGAGCCACCATACCAGCTCCCCCCCCCTTTTTTTTGTCTTTTTCCTTTGAGATAGGGTCTCATGTAGTCTAGATGGGCCTTAAACTTCTAGTATTATAGATGTTCACCATCATGCTTGATCTATTTAATACTTGAAATCAGACCCAGGACTTTGTGCATGCATGCAAGGCAAGCACTCTACCAACTGAGGTGCTTTACATCCCCTGCCCTGATGTTGCTTTCTGGAAAATAGTTCACTGGTAAAGTGCTTGCTGTACAAGCATGAGGACCTGAGTTTAGATCCCCAACACCTACAGAAAGCTGGATATGGCAATACATGTCTGTAATCCAGTGCCAGTGAGGTAGAGAAAGTCAGATCCCTAGATCTTAGTAGCTGAATGAATAAACTGCAAGTTTAGTGAGAATCTATCTGAAAACAAGGGAGAAACAATTGAGGAAGACACCCAGCACCTATCTATGTGGTTTCAGTGCTCTGGGAAAGTAAATAATTTTTACATGTTATAAAAGTGGTCCCATAAGAGTTAGAGCCCATTTTTATTCTCCACTAACATACATTTCATCTTAGGCTTTTTTTTTTTCTCCCGAGACAGGGTTTCTCTGTGTAGCTTTGGAACCCATCCTGGAACTTCCTCTGTAGACCAGGGTGGTCTGAAACTCACCTGCCTCTGTCTCCTAAGCACTGGGATTAAAGGCCTGCACCACTACCACCTAGCATTTTGTTTTTAAAGATTTATTTATTTATTTATTATGTATACAGTATTCTGCCTGCATGCCAGAAGAGGGAATCAGAGCTCATTATAGATGGTTGTGAGCCACCATGTGGACTCAGGACCTTTGGAAGAGCAGCCAGGGCTCCTAACCTCCGAGCCACCACCTCTCCAGCCCCATAAAGGAATTTTTTTAAAGAAAAAAATTGTAATTATTCTTTTATTTAAAAATTTTTTATTTTACATACTAACCTCAGTTTTCCCTCCTTTCCCTTCTCCCACCCCCAACCATCCCATCCTCGCATCTACTCCCCAGAGTGGGTAAGGCCTCCCTTGGGGAGTCAGCAGACTGTGGCATATCAGGTTGAGGCAAGACTAAGCCTTTCCCCCTGTATTATCAAGGTATCATAGGGACTGGGCTCCAAAAATTCAGTTCATGCATCCGGGATAAGTCCTGAACACTGATGACAGCTTATGCTGGAGAGGATGTGGAGTAAGGGGAACACTCCTCCATTGCTGGTAGGAGTGCAAACTTTGGAAATCAGTATGGCAGTTTCTCAGAAAGTTGGGAATCAATCTATCTCAAGACCCAGCAATACCACTCTTGGGAATATATTCAAAGGACACACAATCATACCACAAGGACATTTGCTCAGCTATGTTCATAGCATTATTTGTAATAGCCAGAACCTGGAAACACCTAGGTTAAGAGCATTCTTGGTGAGACATAAAAAGGATTACACAGTAGTAAACCGAAGCTTCTGAAATGAGTGGCTAAAATTTGCCATGGTTCTCTGACTGGGAATTGAACCTAGATCAATGAAGACACCAGAATCTAAGCACACTAGCAGGAAGATACATGGCTTTGGTGCCAAAAGAAAGCTAATGTCTGTGAAATCTCTACTTTTATTTGACCAAGAGTTATAATAAAATATAACTGTTGTTGTGATAAAACACTGACCAAAAGTCACTTGAGTGTATTAGTTACTTTTCTACTGATGTGACAAAATGCCATAACCAAGGCAACTTATGAAAGAAAGCATTTAGCTGGGTGGGGGTGGTGCTTATCTTTAATCCTAGCACTTGGGAGGCACAGGCAGGTGGATCTCTGTAAGTTTGAGGTCAGCCTGGTCTACAGAGTGAGTTCAGAGATACACAGAGAAACCCTGTCTAGAAAAACCAAAAAAAGAAGAATTTGTTCAGGCTTACAGTTCCAGAAGAGGGTTAGAGACCACAAGTATCATAATGGGGATCATGGTAGCAGGCAGGCATGGTGTTGGAGCAGAAACTGGGTGCTTATGTACATGAGCCTTTGGGGATCATTATCATTCAAACCATCACAGGTAGGATACTGATTATTTCCTTTTACATTTCCAGGTGATAGGAACTCAAACAGGGCAGGTTTCTTACATACTGCAGTCCTACCTGCTCAGGGTGGTACCTTCCCCAGTGGGCTTGGCCCTCTCACCTCAATCATTAAGAAAAACACTCCACAGATTTGTCCATGTGCCAATCTCAGGGAGGCATTTTCTTAATTATGATTCTTTATTCTCAGATATGTATAGGCTTATGTCAAGTTGACAAAAACCAACCAGAACACAGAGCAATATTGAGATATACTCTGGCATACAAACCTTAATTATATTTATGACAAAATGGAACAGGTTAAGGTAATCTGTTCATAGGCTATTTTAGTCATGGGTAAGCTCTGAACCAAACTTTTCAAGTGAAATTAAGGTCTAAGCTTTTATTTAGAGACCACTCCATCTGATTCCTTTTCTTTTAGTTTCAAATGAGCTTTGGAGTTAATTCTTAGATGTTCATTTCAGCTAAGAGTGGATGAAATCAATAAAAATTCAACTTAGAATTAAAACTTTTCTTTTCCTAAGATAGGGTTTCTCTCTGTAACAGCCTTGGTTATCCTGGGACTTTTTCTGTAGACCAGGCTGAGTTCGAACTTAAAGATCTGCTTGCCTCTGCCTTAAGTGCTGAGATTATATGCATGTGCCACCACCCAGCTCCTATCACAATTTTTAAAGCACAGTAAGAAATGAGTCATAATAGAACTGTAACAATATAATAATTTGTATGAATGTGGTCAAAATATCTGTTTTCATCTAATTAGTATTTCTGGATCACAATGGGATAGTGACAATGGGGAACAGAAGCCAGACTGGTGGAGAGATGGTTATAGCTCTCTCCTTCATAGTAAATCATTAGTGTTCTTACTTGCATTTTGCCCATTTTTCTTATTACATCTCAACTGTTTAGAATAGCTGTGGAACCCACTCATCACCCTTAGTCAGATTTTGACCAGTGGGGACTTGTCTCTTTCTGCAAACAGGTTGAACACCTTGGTCAATAGTTGGGTTGGACCCAGGAGTCACATTGCAGAGAAGAAGCCCTTCTTGGGATTAGGATGTTTTTCTTTCATTAATGCTTTACAAATGTTAGGATAACTAGGTAGAGGATATTTAACTGTCAATCCAAATAATCTTCCAAAAGACGTTACTTCTTGTGAACAGCAGTGTCACAATGAGAACACATGTCAGTAACTAAGGTTGTATCCATGGTATTTGGGGCAACATGAAGTTGCAAAGGCCAAACAAGGAGATTATATATCATGAAAAACTAAGTTTTGGCTACAAGAATCAGCAACAAGAATGGCAACAATCCAGGCTGGACAGACAGCTACTGAGCTGCCCTTACACAAGCATCAAATTGTGGCAGCCTTGGTGCAAGCTAGGGTTTTGGCAGTCTGAGAGGTAGATGACAGGCCTCACCCCCCACACCTCCTTCCACTTTCTCATGGATTCCAGGGTTCACTCGCACAGCAAGCACCTTTACTTGCTGAGCTGTGTAGCATGGGCCCGCTCCAGGCTTGGTAACCTGACTGGGGATTTACTATCATTCTAGTTATGATGGTCATGGGAGTACATAATAGCTACTGTCTGTCACACAAGGCCCAGGGTGCTAAATGTCTTAATTCTGCCAATCTTTAGTAAGGAGTAAACTGCTCCCATTAAGTTGCTGGGCCACTTGTGTGATGTGTCTCCACACAGGAAAGGAACCAGAGACCCAGATACTACACCCCTGGCCAGGAGCTCAAAGGCAGAGCCTAGGCAAGCTTATCTGCCTGGTCATGTTTGAGGACTCCCTGGAACAATGTTGTTGGTAAAGGTTCTGAAACAAGAGGTGTTATTATTTAGCTGGCAAAGAGATTGAAGTCATTAATAATTTTCTTGCCACTGATTCCACATCTAACACCAAGAGATAGCCTCCTAGCCACTGAGCTCCAGCAGCTCCCCAGCAGTCCCAACCAAGAAGAGACCTGCTCCTTGTGGCAGGCAGGGCAGAGATGCAGGTGCCCTGTCCCTACCCAAGTGCTTACACTTATCTAGTCTGTGTAGGACCTGCAGCTCACAGGGTAAATTAGCATTAGTGCCACTCTTCAGGGCACCAGCAGTTATGCCTTGAAAAGAGTGAGTACTCTAAGCCTCAAGTGGCTCCTCCAAAAATACCCCCAGGAGGCCTCACCCAGAGGGTTTTCCTACGAATGACAGGGTGTATCCCTGGCACCAGGCCCTGCATAGGACCTCTACAAAGGCTGTGGCCAACTCTGCTTATAATTTCCTGTGAGGCCCCACCTCAGACCATGAAGGCTTCAGGTTTAGGCAAAGCTTCTGTCTCCAAAAATGTCCAGCACTGTATGTATAGCTGTGCCTCATCCTGGTAATCCATGCTGGGGCCTAGAGTAAGCGGCTGGTTCTCACACAGGCTGTGCACCTCTGCTCTCAGCCACAATCCCTACTCCTCGAAACAGCAAAGCGAACATGGTGGCATGCAGGTGCCAGAAGTATAGGATATTATGTGGCCCCATGTAGGTCATTAAGCAATGGCTTGTCTCCATCTCAGAGAACATGCATAGGCAATGGGTGCAGTCAACAGAGGGTACTGCCTGAGACTCGGTGTATCCGTCTCCTCTACAGGAATCCCTATACTTCTGCTTTGGATTTGGGCCTATGCCCTTTAGGGCAGAAGATTGGCTAGCATAGGAACCCAGGCCTTGAAGGAGTGCTATGGGGGAATAATACCACTTTCCCTTAATCCTGCACCATCATTTCCATCCTGGGGACTTGGCTAGACCAGTACTTGGGTTTTTCAGTCACCTAGCACTGTGCCTCCAGCCATAGGGGAACAACACACAGCTTAAGAAGTCCTCTGCGCCGGCGGTGGTGGCGCATGCCTTTAATCCCAGCACTCGGGAGGCAGAGGCAGGTGGATCTCTGTGAGCTTGAGGCTGGGCTGGACTGACAGCCTCCAAAACAATACAGAGAAACCCCGTCTCCCGTCTCGAAAAAGAAGTCCTCTGCAACTTGCCCTACCCTAGTTAACTCTTCTAGCCCAGCTGCTGGAGCGCCCAGGACAGAACTAGAGGATGAAGAGGCTCGGAAGGCAACTGCATATATACATCTCTATGTCCCAGGTCACACAGAGACACCTCCAAGGTAGCAGACCAAATATCCACCACTCAGAAGTCCTAGGATCACTAGGAGAGGCTGGAAGTCATCAAGGAAATCTGGTTTCATGATCACTACTCAATTCAAGTTCTTGGCAGGCTTGCTATAGGCCAAATGGGTGAACATCCCTCTAGCCCCCATGAGTTAAACTCTCATTTTGGCTGGACCCTCCTAGAGATCCAGGGCCTAGATGACAGGAAACAGCATCAGATGGAAAGACTTTGTCTGCCCACCCTGCAAGAACTGCCTTGGGGCACATCCTAGGCGTCAAGGAAGGGTAGCCTGTACTTCAGAAGGGCCCTTAGGCAAGAGGCTACCCTTCAGAATTCTCCCTACATCATGTCCTATATAAACTACTAAAGGGCCTCAGCAGCAGCCATGGTGTCCTCCAGCTGCTGAAGCAGCTCCTCTGGCTGTGGTGAGAATGCACTGGTGTCCACTCTCTGAAAGTCAATATGTGCAATCACAGAGGCCAGCACATCTGCAAGGCGACCAACATCAAATGCAGCCTGCTGCAGGTTCAGCCCTAGGCCTGGCTTGTCCCCTGTATCCCCCTTCAGTCCTTGCCTCAGGATAAGAAGTCTCTTCTCAGCGATGACCTTTAGGAAATGGTAAAATTCTTCAAAATTGATCCCTGTGCAGGATTTCATGATGACCTAGGCCAAGAGAAAAGGGCAAGTAAGTCCTGGGGTCACATCCAGACTCAGACTGCTAAGATCCCTCCCACACACCTAGGGCCTAAGATGGGACCCAGAGACAAAGGGACAGAGTCAGGGTAGCGGCCACTGGGTCTGAGTCATGAAGCCTGGCCCTGGCGTCTGTCCTGGACCCAAAGCTGACTCAACATGGGCAGGTTGCTTCCTACCTGGCAGTGGTGGTGCCAGTCAGGCATGGAGTCCTTCCATTCTCTGATCTCCTGCTGCACTGCCTGGAGTTCTTGCTGCAGGAAGTGCCACATGTTTGCCAGGTTGCAGCCATTGACCCAGTTGTGGTTGATAGAGATGGTGTCGTCCTGGAGGGCAGAGGACAAGCTCCATGGGGCAACAGCAGGCATTACCTTTGGTGAGCAAATCAAATCCTACTCCATGCTCACCAAGCTCCGTGGGTGGGAGTTTTGGTTGTTGCTGTGTTTGTTTTGTTTTTGGACAAGTTTCTCTGTGTAGCTTTGAAGCCTGTCCTGGCACTCACCAGGCTGGCCTCAAACTCAGAGAGATCTGCCTGCCTCTGCCTCTGTCTCCAGAGTGCTGGGATTAAAGGTGTGTGCCACCACTGCCTGGTGGGTGTGAGAGTTTTAACTGACAACTTGACACAATCTGGAACTACCTGAGGAGACAAGCTCAGTGAGGAACTGTCTACATTGGACTGGGCTGTGGGCATGTCTGTGGGGAGATTGTCTTAACCGATGTGGAAAGACACAGCTCATTGTGTGTGGCACCATTCCTGAAGCAGAGGGCCCTGAACTGTGTAAGAGCAGAAAAAACTGAGCTGAGCACAAATGAGAAAGCAAAAAAAAATGCATTCATTTCTCTCTTCTTGACTGTGGATGTGATTAGTCATATGAAGTTCCTGCATTGGCGTCCCCACAACGAACTGTAATTTGGAATAAATCCTTTCTCCCCTAAGTTACGTTTTGTCAGAGTATTTTGTCACAGCAACAGAAATGAAACAATAGTGGGCAAAGGTAGCAAACAGACACTTAGCCATGGCAGCCAGGAAATATTGACCCCATCTCATGATGGGGCTAACACATTGGAATGAGAGCTAGAGGAACCAAGCTAGAATAGGACAAGGGGTAAGTTCCTCAGAGTCTCAGTGTGGCTTCCCTACCCTATATCCAGTCTTTGCAGGGGAATAGTACTGCCTTCTTTCTACAGAGGCCGTTGGGGACATAGAGGGAGGGAGCCTGGCAGGAGCAGGGTCATGTGCACCGTCTTACCAGATTGTACACTTGATGGTGCCACCCGCTGGGCACAAATACCATCTCACCAGCCTCCTGTATGACTTCAAGGGGTAGGCTGCTGTGCTGGATCCTGGGATACAGGCGAGTGTCCAGGAGCTCAGCGGAAGTCACATCATAGGGCAGGTTACCGTGGCAGTCCCGAAGGGCCTCCTCCTGCCCCGGTGGGCAGAACAACCATTTCTTCCTCCCACAGATGTTCACTGACCAGCTGAAGGAGCGGAAGATGTCCGCATGGAAGGGAGACCTACAGCAAGGGCTTTTGGTTTGTGTCTTGTGGAGTCCTGTGGAGACCCTGAAGTTTTTGATAGGCCTCTAGGCAGATGCCCCAGATGGTCACACCTCCCATCTCATCTTCACCAGGTGCCCAAGTCCCTTCTGTCATTACCAGGTGCCCCTGGGCCCCGCATAGACAAAGCGGTAGTCATCCACATTGAGGACGTCCCAGAACTCGTTCAGCCAGTCCGATGAGAAGTACACAGGCAGGGTGAATATATCTTCCAAGTCATCCACCAAGGAGTCTCTGAGGAAAGCACATGAGCTATATTGTACTAATCTACCCTGTGTCCCATTCCATATCAAATAGGGCCACCTAAGATCACCCAGCCCTAGTGGACTTCTTGACTGTTCTCATGAAGGACATGAGCTGAATCTCAAGTTGCTTAGTTCAGAATGCTTAAGATAAAATGACTTTGGAGGCACAGTGGCATAACCACTCCACTTAGGCAGTGGTCACTGGGGCTCTGAACACATGGTAAACACCATCCCAGTTCCTGAGTCATGGGCCTCCTCCTTTTTTTCACCACTACTGGAGAGCGTAACACTACCTGGCAGCACCAGGTTTCAGACCCAGGTGGGAGAACCTCAAAACCCATCAATGGGTTCCCAAACACTGGATCATATTAACACCAACCTCAGAGAAGGCTCAACACCATCATGCTGGGAAAAGTTTCTAGAGTCATGTGCCTGTAATTCCCAACAAGAGACAGAGATAGACAGAGCTCCAGTAGTAACAACTTATCTGTCGATCCCCAAACATCAGCATTGCCTGCCTCTCTGAGCACTCAGCAAACTATTACACTTGGCCAGGCATCGATCCCCTGTGGCCTCCTGATTATGCAATTCCATGTCTTCTTCTGCCCATTTTGATTTCAGGGTCTTCCAGAAAAAAAGTACAAGCAAACAAAGGATTTAAATACAATGAACACTTTTTAGCCTAAATGTGTCAGTTAATATATGGGAAATATTCACTACCTCCCTAAACAAAAAAACACAAAAGAACAAAACAAACCAACTTACATGTTTACCTACAATTTCAAACTACTACACAAGACAGAATTTAGGCCTGTGAGTCCGTCTGTACCTGCTCAAACATTACACAGATGCAGGACCAGTGTCTGCTCACACTTTAGCCACCTCCTATATAGGCCACTTTCTACCCAAACAATGTAGTATGACAGGGCATCTGGAGGCTGGTGTTTCTTTTGCATCCGGTCAGCTGTGGAAACTGCTGTGAGCTGAAATGCCATCCTACACTACACAAGTTATACAGGAATTCAAAACTGTTCACTTTGCTTTCTGCTGGGGTTCTGAGCACAACCGTCTGTGCTTGTGAAAGGAACACCAGGCAGAGAAAACACACAGTCCCAGAGCCACCATGGAAAGAAGTGATGCTCTTCCCAAAGAGATGTAGTAGGCTCCTCAGCTTACAATAGGCTTATGTACTGACATGTCCAAGCAGGAAATACCATAAATTTAACAATGTACTAATAACATGTGTTTAGATGCTCAAGAACTTAGCATTACCAGTTCCAAAAAGAAAAAAAGCCAGCAGTGTGCCTAAATGCACAACCACTGTAGCTTAGCACAACAACGGAGCACACTGTAGAGATGCGATCATCTTCTTGACACTGTCCAGCATAGAGAAGGGAAGGGGAAGAAGCATACCACATCCGGCTAGCCCAGGGAAACAGCAAAATTCAAATCTGGAAGTAGTTCTTTTTTTGGTTTTTCGAGACAGGGTTTCTCTGTATTGCTTTGGAGGCTGTCCTGGAACTCGCTCTGTAGACCAGGCTGGCTTCAACTCACAGAGATCCGCCTGCCTCTCGAGTGCTGGGATTAAAGGGGTGTGCCACCAACGCCTGTCTTGGAAGTAGTTCTTACAGAATGCACTGCACTCCTGCACCACCACAAAGTTACAAAAAAAAAAAATCTCCTAAGCAAAGTAGCCACAAGTTGTCGAGTGAGAGTGCCTCTTTAAAGAATAAGGGGTTTTCAAAGTGCAGCAAGAGCGGTTGTAGAAAGCTCACTTGCTCCTTTTGAGAGCCTAGAATGGACCAGGCGACGGCAAGAATCCCCAAAACAAGCCGGGCGGTGGTGGCGCACACCTTTAATCCCAGCACTCGGGAGGCAGAGGCAGTCGGATCTCTGTGAGTTCGAGGCCGGGCTGGACCGACAGCCTCCAAAACAATACAGAGAAACCCTGTCTCATAAAAACCAAAAAAAAAAAAAAAAAAAAAAAAAAAGAATCCCCAAAACAACCATGGAAGGAGCAAGCCTGTCCTCAGTGGGGAGAGAGCAGTCCTAGAGATCTGAGAGGAACCTACTCAGCATCATACCGAAGTGGCCACCTATGCCCATACAAGAGCCACACAAGACTTACTTTTCTCATGACAGTCCACCTGGGCCGGTATGGTGACATTCCCAAGGAACCACCCTCCCACCAGCTTTGAGACAGACTAGAACTCTTCTGTAAAGGGAGCCCCTCTGAGTGCAGTAGGAATGTTAAGAGGGCCTGCACTCGCTGCTTAGTGCCCAGCAGCCATCCGCCAGCCTGTCCCATTACCTGCACAGGTGCCAGTCCTTGAGGTAGAGACAGCCCCGCGGTGAGGAGCAGCCTCCTTGGATGTACTCCTTCCAGTAACTGATATAGTCACGGAAGGGCATGTGCTCCTTGGGGTTTGAATTGTATTCCCGCACTCCGCAGTTAGCGACTGGCACAACAGCGTCTCCTGCAGAGAGAGGGTCGGTACAGAAGCGGTAGAGTCATCCGTGTAGTTCACCCCCTTGGGCCACCCTTTGGGCGAATTATCCAGATCCCACTCGTCTGTTCGGTCCTGGCCACCCTCCCAATCCCCGGGTCTACGTCTCTGCTCCGAGTTCCCCAGGTCAGCCCGCCTGTGCCCTACCATACTTCTGCAGCAGGTACTCGAAGTCAGGCTTCCCTGCTGAAGTCACCCAGCGTCGCCGGCTGCCCCAGCCCTCAGTGAAGGCGCTGGAAAACACACAGGGCAGGTTAGGCAGCAGGAAGCCCTTCACGAAGTCGGCGTAGGAGAAGGCGTCAGGCTCTTGAATGAAGGTCACACTGCGGGGTGCGGGACCGTCGCAGCCAGGGACTCGGCCCCCGAGATCCCGGTAGTGCCGCTCGGCAAAGGTGCGGGTCTCCCGATCCATTCACCGGGAAACCTGACCCTGGAGACCCAGCCCTGCTTCCCACTACACTTCACTTCAAATGGGGAATGGAGGCCGAGAAACCTCCTAAAACCAATTTGGAGCAGAAACCACAGTGAAGGAGCCCGGAACCAGACATCAGAGGTGCAGCATTCCAGCAGGAACTCAAGCCTTGGCGCTCCGAGGATGTGCGCGTGCGCCCTATGTGGTCCCGCCCTCCCGCGCAGGCGCAGGAGCGCTCGCCTAGTGGCGAACCGGCTTCCCAGCGGCTGGCGTCTGTGTTTGGTGGTCCGGGGTCTTCTGCGCGCTCCTCTTGCCCCAGGTGAGCGGTACTGCTAACGCGCAGCTAGGCAGTGCTCGAGTCCGCCACTGAGACAGGAGGTGAAGATGAGACCCAAACCTTAAGGGATGATGGAGTCCTGAAGGGGTGGTGGGATGCGAGTGGAGGATGAGGATCCGCGGGGCGTGGGGAGGCACTTGAGTCTCCGGCTTAGGTTGAGGAACCTTTCCTAGGATTGTGATGTTCACTTAGAAATAGAACGGGACAAATTAAAGGGGAGAAAAGTGAGTTTTGGGAGATTTTGAGGTTCAGGTAGAGAGGTGTGGATTATTGGGAAGAAGGCAAGGGTAGAAACAGGAGGCAGGGACTTGTTTGATCTAATTCGCCCATTGTGGACCTCACTGTGACTCTTGTGGTCAAAGAGTAGAACTCTGTTGCAACTAGGTCATGGTAGGAGATGACAGCTCATAGAGAAATTCAAGTGCAGAGAAACACATATCCATGCCAGTACTCGTGGTGCTCGCTTTGATCCCAGCGTTGAGGAATGCTGAGGTAGAAAGATCCGAGGATTCTAGGACAATATGAGCCACAAAGCAGGACTTGTCTCGAAAAGAAAAAAAGCCAGTACACAATGACAACAGCAATAAATAAAACCCCAACATCCCAAAGTGTCATTTACGTGCAATCATTAAGTCTTCTGGTATCAAGCCTGTTTTGCCAGACATACATGAATTTATACATTTTATTCCTGTACCCTCCTCCGTCTCCCAGAGTCTCTGTCTTCTTTTTGTACATTGGCAGTATATTATATTTGGAAACATCATTTTAGATCTTTAATCTACTTCTTGGCATACAGTTCTTAAAATTTTTGGATTCCCTGAGCTGATAACTGCCATTTTGCATGCTAAGGAGTCTAACACCATCCAACATCCACTAGGGTGGTGGATTCCAGGTGGAGCTGGTAACTGAAAACCTGAGCAGGATTAGAGGGTAGGGACTTTGAACCCAGCTCTCATCCTCTAGGGCTGAAAGTCCAGTAGGTCATTAATGACCAGTGTTTAATTAGTCGTGTCCACGTAATGAAATGTCCCGAACATCCTTAGACGACTCATTCAGAAGGTCCTGGAGAGTGTGCCTAGGAAGAGTGTTAGCATGGTTGTCTCATACTTGACCTGCTGCATCTTTTAATGCCCCATGTAATGTCCTTTATAATGAAACAGTAAATGTAAGTTAGTATTTCTCTGAGTAATATGAACTTCTGGGGGAAATCCAACTAAAGGAGGGATCTCTGGGGCCCTGTGTATAGGTGTTGGTCATCAGAAAGAGGTGACACAGCCTGGGCTTGCATTTGCAGTGAAGTAGGGACATCTTGGGAGATTGAGCCCCCAACCTTGGCATCTGACACAATCATCAGGCAGGCATTATTAGATCGAACTGAATTAAAGGGCATTCTTCTGGTGTCCACTGCTGGCACTCTTAGGGTCCCAGAATTCTGTGCTATGATGTGAGACTAGAGATAAAATAGTTTGTTTTTTCATAGAAATATGAAAAACCCAAATAGGAATTGCTTCTTTGTCTGTGTAGTGTCCCAGGGCCAGCAGGTATATATGCTGTCAAGATCTCTGGACCAGCACAGCCCCTAACACAGTAATTGGGACATGAGCTCTTGACCCCTATTAAGTTAGTGTTGTAATTCTGGTCTTCACACGGTGGCCTCTGGGTGTTAGTAACATTGTCGAGTATGTCAGGCCTGGAGAGAGGCCTGAAACACAGGTGTGTGTCCATGAAGTTGCCTCTCCTACCCCCAGCTGGGAACTGCTAGTGATGCACTTCCTCTGCCCACACAAACCTATGGAAACTGCGCATCCTGGGCAAAGCCACCCCAGATGAAAACAGGAAAGCACTGGAGTTGGCACTCTGGAGGAGACGAGGTGGAAACAGTGGACGGTCTTATTGCTCTCTGAATATCTAGAGCACGCCCTGCAGCTAGGCTGTGGTGTTTGAAACATCCTCAGAAGCATGGCTGAGCCTCAGGGTGGAGATGGGAACTTCTGAGGGAGTGGAAAGAGGGTCTGCTGCAGAGCAGGAGGGCAGGTAATGGAAAAAGCCAGTCTTGCCACCCCCGCTCGGACACACTGCCCCACTGTTCTCCCTCTCAGCCTACTAGGGGAAGGTGTGCAGAATGCTGTGTGTTCTGTTACTTTGGAAATTAACTAAAAATAGGCTGTTTACTTGCTATTGAGTTTTACTCAAGGGCACATGTGTGATGGAAATGCTGAAAGAGACCCATTATGCCAATCCCAGTTTGTTAGGAGTCACAGTCAAGTGACGTGGGCCTTTTCCCCAAGAACGTCATTTATGTGAATTAGCTTGACACCCACGGGTTGCCTGCCATGACTTCCTATGGTAATTGTGCCTCTCACATGCAGGGTTCACACAGAGCTCCTACTCTACCTGTACTAGTGGAGGCAAGTCACGAGCTAACAAAGGAAGACACCAAACACAGAATTCAGGAACAGAGCCTCTCTGGAGGCTCACTGGGTATGTGTGTACTGGGTGCCCATGGATTTCACAAGACTCACTTCCATGAAGGTCACCTTTGGGAAGCTCCCCGAGGTGTGGAAGTACGGGGTTGTAGTGGGCAATAGGAAGGGTATGAGTGCCATGCAACCTGAAGCTTTAAAGTAGAAGGGCATTTCAGAGTCAGGGACGCTAAGAAAGGGGCAGCAGAATGAAGCTTAGAGCCCCATTAGACCGGAAGTATGTTTTCTGTGATTTGTTTGCAGTACTCTCCCACTACTGTCCCAGAACTCAGGGCCTCCCACATGCCAAGCAATTCTTTACCCAAGGGATCCTATATTCACAAGAGCTTTTGGCAGAAGCATGACGTTTTATAATTCTGTTTCCTGACTGATGGGGTGCTGAATAGACTGAAGGGACAGGATGAAGTGAGAAGGTCCTGGAGGGGCTGTGCCAATAAAGGATGACACTGTCCTAGAGAGGGTATCACTGTGGAGGCTGTCATTGTTGCCAGATGGGGGTCACAACCTGTATCCCACGCCAGGTCTGAATAGAGCCAGATTAAAAGTGGAAAGCAGAAAAAGGAGATTTATTCAATGTGGCCAGGTTGGGAAGAGGGACGGAGAGATCTGGTGAATCCCTAAGTCCTGGAGTGAGGCCAAGTACTTGCATGTGTAAGACAGTAGAGGTGTGCCCCCCTACGCCCACCATTAACCCATGCTTGTCTGGACTCCAGTCTCTGTAAGGTGGCCTTACAAGTTGTTAGAATCACGTGATCTCTCTTGGGAGATAAATTCCCTCTGGCTAGTGTCTTTTCCTTCTCCCAGTTTGAGATTCCTGGGGAGATTTTCATCTCTTTGGGGTCCATTGTTTCAATACTCTGATAGATTGGAAGACTTCACTTGTGCCAGGCCTGTTACCTTAGGATTTGTTTATGGGTTTAGGAGGATGAGGAAGAAAGGGGTCCAGAAAGACTCTTGGTTCTAACAGAGCTTTTGTTAAAAAAAGAAACACATAGCTAGGGCCTAGTAAGTGTGAGGTACCCAACAGATAACCAAGCAAGGATCTGGTGGTGGGGCTGGACTGGTTGGAAATGCCTGTTAGGTGTGACATAAAGATGCCCAGCAGGCAACCAGAAGTCTGAGTTGAAGCCTTGAGAGCCCATGGGCTTGATAGATGTGGTTGGGTGAAGTCAGCCTTGTCATGGAACTCTTACACGTGTATGTCTCATACTGGGGGCAGTAACTGGAGGGGATGGTGGCATCTGAGGGAGGGAGGAGGGCAGTATGTGTTATAACGTGGAAATTTTTGTTGTTGTTATTGTTTTTGTTTTTTCAAGACAGGGTTTCTCTGTGTAGTCCTGGCTGTCCTGGAACTTACTCTGTAGACCAGGCTGGCCTTGAACTCAGAGACCTGCCTGCCTGTGCCTCCACCAAAGGTATACTCCACCACTGCCTGGCTTACCTAGGAGATTTTTAGTATACTTGTAAATTGATGATGTTGTCAAGGAGAATGCCTGGAAAGTTGTGTCTGATTAAAACTACAGTGATGTGGTGAGGTTGGAAAGTTGCCAGGAGCTAATTACCATATCTTGGACCCACTTTAGCCATATGAATAGTCAGCCATTCCTTGCCCACCTCTGTATCAGTCATATCCTGTGACGAATAGATTAAAAACCTTTGGCATGCCGGGCGTTGGTGGCGCACGCCTTTAATCCCAGCACTCGGGAGGCAGAGGCAGGCGGATCTCTGTAAGTTCGAGACCAGCCTGGACTACCAAGCGAGTTCCAGGATAGCCTCCAAAGCCACAGAGAAACCCTGTCTCGAAAAACCAAAAAAAAACAAAAAACAAAACAAAACAAAAAAAACCCCTTTGGTATGGGGGGGGGTGGGATGGAGAACTGTGGTTGGAATGTAAAATGAAATAAAAACAAAAACCCTTTGGTATCTAGTAATTTAGCAAACCCCTAGCTTCTACCAATCCAAAAGCTAAGAATGTCATCAGATAACATCTGAGGCCTATAGAAAAGCTTTCTCCATCTTGCTGTGACTTCTTTAATGAACCCACCAATGTATTTTACATTTGCTTGATTGATGACTTCCTTTGTTCTGTAAAAGTATAAAAATTTCATGAAACTGCTTTCACTTTGGAACATGGAATTTGTGGTGACCTAAATCTGTGTTGCTGGACCATGGTCACTCAAAATGGCTCCAGAAAAAAATCTGTTATTCCATTTAAGGTGAGCGCTGTGCTTTTGGTGTTGACAAATGGGATTGGCCACAACCTGTAGTCCATGTCCAGTTGCCAGAATTTTGTAGGTTAAGTTTACTGGAATATCCATACCTCATGGTTGCT